TGATGAGGCCACAAGGAAAGGAGCCACAGCTAAATACCTCCAACGAATAAGGCAAGTCCTGAGAAGCCAGGTCAATGGCAAGAACAAAATCCGTGCGATAAACAGCTATGCCCTGCCAGTAATCAGATACCCTGCTGGAATAATTAGCTGGCCAAAGGAGGAGATAAAAGCCACAGATATTAAGACTAGAAAGCTACTAACCATGCATGGAGGGTTCCATCCCAAATCCAGCACCCTGAGACTGTACACGAGCCACAAGGACGGAGGCAGAGGACTAGTGAGTGTGAGAACCACTGTCCAGGACGAAACAACTAAGATCCATAAATACATCAGGGACAAAGCCTCAACAGACAATGTGCTCAGTGAATGTCTCAGACAACAGGGAACAGAGGTTGAGGTGCCAGAGATACCATCATGGGAGGACAAGCCCCTACATGGGATGTACCACCAGCAAATAACCCAAGTGGCTGATATCAGTAAATCCTACCAATGGCTGGAAAAAGCTGGACTCAAGGACAGCACAGAGGCCCTCATCCTGGCCGCCCAGGAACAGGCCCTAAACACCAGAGCAATAGAGGCCCAGATCTACCACACCAGACAAGACCCAAGGTGTAGGTTGTGCAAGGAGGCCCCTGAGACAGTCCAGCACATCACAGCAGGGTGCAAGATACTGGCAGGGAAAGCGTACATGGAGCGACATAACCAAGTGGCAGGCATAGTGTACAGAAACATCTGTGCAGAATATGGACTGGAAACCCCGAGATCAAAGTGGGAAACACCCCCAAAGGAGGTGGAGAAAATCTTAAAATCTTTTTTCCATGGGATTTTTTTCTATTTCAAGATGGCAGAGAGTAGGATCATAGTCAGCTAATTCCCCAGAGTCGGGTAAAAAAGGTCCACAACGAAATAGGAACTTGATCGATGAGTGGGCATGAGTGGAATAAGCAAGAGAAGAAACCGGAAAAACTATAAAAACAGGACAGAACCAAAGAGCTGGCTGTAATGGAAGAAATGTCCATTACAGTCAATGGAGTTATGGCTCTAAGTTTTTTTTGTGCTCGCAGGCACAAAAAAACTCCAGCAGAGAAACTCAGGAAATTCAAAACAGGTACCCCTTATATTGGCACACTGACCATTTTAAATATCTAGGCATTACTATACCAAAGGACCTCAAAAAAAATTTAAAATATAATTATGTTCCCATGCAAAAAAAGAGTTAAAGAAGATATTACAAGATGGAATCTTACTCCTTTTCTAAGTTTTAGCTCAAGAATTAACTTAAGGTGAACATACTGCCAGATTGTTATATTTATTCCAAACTTTGCCCATTGAAATAAATCAAAAAGTTTTTAATGAATGGGACAAATTACTATCAAGATGTATTTGGCAATGTAAAAGACCGAGAATTGGATATAAAGTCTTCAACTGGAAAAGAAAATGGGAGGGAGGGGGTTGCCTTCCCTTACAAATTATTATTTGGCAGCACAAGCAAGAACACATATATACTGTTACGAACTAACATAATGCTCAATGGAAATCTATTGAAACAAAGGCGACACTCATTTCTGTACAATCAATTCCAGCTGATACAAATTTACAAAGTTTCATAAATAATATAGATAACTGGTGGATGAAAACAACCCTTAGAGCGTGGAAAACTATTGCTAAAGAAAATGCACTAGCGAACGACCTAGCAGTCAAAAAATGGGTTGCATATGATTCTGACTTTACACCAAATAAACTGGACGCCAGAGAATCACTGCTCTGTGCACATTAATGAACAACATCATCTTAAATAACTTCGAAACTCTTAAGAGAAAATATTCCTTGGACAAACAAGACTTTTATTAATATTTACAAATAAGGAATTTTGCTGACTTAAAAATTAAACCAATTACTGACAAGAATGTAAACTTAATGGAATTTTTTATTAATGCCTATTAATCAAAAATTAAAGGAAAAATGATCTCGCTTATCTATGAAAACCTAATAGATCTTAAAAATAATTCAACCCTACATATCAAAGCAAGATGGGAAAGAGAGGGAAATTTAACAATAAAGAGGAGAAACGGACAATAATGTGGACATATCAATGGACATATAATAAATCTCTACAATGGAAAGAATTTGGATAGAAAAATCTGCTAAGATTCTTTATCACACCGGCTCAGAAATGGCACTGATGGAAACCCTCCTGCATGTTGGAGAAAATGCAGAAATCAAAACACAAATCATTATCACGTCTTCTGGGACTGGAAAATATTACTGGAAAAAGATAAATAGTGCCTTACAAGATATTTTTAACCAGAACATTTCCTTGGAGTTCAAGTTGATGTATTTTGGGATAATTCCTCAAAAAGCCACAAAAAAGAAACAAATATCTGGTGACTATTTTATTAACAGCAAGTAAGAAAAACATTACAAGAAAATGGTTATCACAACAAACCAACTTTAAATGACTGGATTGACATATTTAACAATATGTTCATTTGACCACATATTTACAAGTACCCAAATTATGAACAAATTTTCTTTTTACGGTTTAAAAATCATGTTTCACAGATACAACTATCCAAAGTTACACACAAAGATCCTTACACAGATTACAAATCCTGTATTACACGCATGCACATTTATTTTGAGACTATTTGCAATCCATATTAATGGGATTAAAAGAGTGGATGTCCAAAACTAAATGATGTAGAAATAACAGCATTGGATGACAAGGAAAAGGCAAAAATGTTGGTAAATATTTCTGTTAAAATTTGTAGTTTTGAAAAAATTGGTGAAGAAGGAAAAATTAAGAGAAACAACAATTTTAGAGAACAAGATGGAATATACAAATGATTCATTTAATATGTTGTTTCAAATGTGAAAGATGTGGAGAAAGAAAGAAAGAAAATGTAGAACATATATTGATGAATGGTAAAACATGAACCTGAAAGGGAGAGACTGATAAGAATGGTTAGGACAGGTCAAGAATATTGGGATATGAAGGAAATATAGTGGATATTTACACAGCATTATTTATTCATCTTCAGAGTACAAAATTAAAAAGAACTTAATAGATGTAAAGTAGTGTTCTACACACTCTTATACAGTAGGTGGCGGTATGCACCTTAAAGTTGCTTTCGATCTGCTACAATAGGAAAGAAGAAAAAGAAGTAGTAGAACAGTTAGTTTTGGGAAATCACTATTTGCTGATGATGGAGCATTATGGAAAAGGGGAAGAAATATACAACATCTTATTTTAAAACTTCAAGAAGGTATAGATAAAGTAGGTAAGTGGGGAATTGAGTGGGGTTTTAAATTTTCAATTGAGAAGACAAAAGTAATGTTCTTTACAAATAAGAAAGTTAGAATTGATAAAAAATTTATTTATATGGGAAAGAGTTAGAAATGGTTGAGTTTTCGTTTTTTGGGAGTAGTCTTTGATAAGAAACTAACTTGGGAAAGTCATATAGATCACATTATGGAAAAAAGTAAAAAGGTTCTTAACATTATGAGGTGCTTGACAGGGTTGACATGGGGTGCAAACTTTGAATCACTTAAAAATATTTATGTGTCATTAATACGATCTAGAATAGATTATGGGAGTGTGGTATATGGATCAGCAAGCAAAACTAGGTTAAACAAATTGGATATTATTCAAGCAAGAGCTTTGAGAATTTGCTTAGAGGCAGTTAAATCTACTCCAGTATGTGCATTACAAGTAGAGTCAGGAGAGATGCCATTATGTATTAGAAAACAGCAGATCATGGTAAATTATTGGATAAGTTTAAAAGGACAAAATGAAGATCATCCAGTTAAGAAAGTGTTACAAAATTGTTGGGAGAGAGGAAAAGGAAAAGTAATAGTTTTGGGTGGGTGGCAGATAATAGAGCAAAAACATTTAATGTATTTGACAAAGAATTCAGTCAAACAGTAGTATGGCATATGAGACCAGCATGGTCATGGAAATATATTAATGTAGACAAGTCACTATTAGATATTCAGGGGAAAAAGATGATAGATATGTGCCAAGAGTTTTATCATCAAATACAAAATAAATATAATGATTATGTACAGATTTATACTGATGGTTCAAAAGATCCTAAAAACGAAGTAACTAGTATAGCAGTAGTGATTCTAGAGTTAAAGATAAAAATTTCAAAAAGAACATCTGATGACTTGAGTATCTATGCAGTAGAATTGTGTGCTATATTATTAGCTTTAGAATGGGTGGAGGATAGTAAAGGAAATAAATTTATAATTTGTAGTGATTCATTAGCAGCATTGATGAGTATTGAAATCAATGCTGATAAGTAATCATCAAAATATATTATATGAGGTTATGGCTGCTCATCATAGAATATGTCAACAAAATAAAACTGTAATATTATTTTGGACTCCTGCTCATGTAGGTATTTTGGGCAATGAAAGAGCAGATAGGTTGGCGAAGGAGGCCAGTAAAAAAGAAGAAATTGATATGTTAGTAAAACTATCTAAATCAGAGAGGAAAGTATAGCTTGGAGAGAAAGTAAGAAGATGTGGAAAATTAAGTGGGATAATGAAATTAATAATTTATATAGGTTTCAAAATACAGTTGATGTAGAAAGGGTTAGAGGATTAAATAGAAAGGTAGAGGTAATTATAACTCGAATAAGAACCGGGCATAGTTTATTAAATGGAACTCTTTATAAGATGGGGAAACATCTTACTGGTTTATGTAGTTGGTGTGATTCTGTAGAAACAATGGAACATGTTTTTATTAGTTGTAGAAAATATAAAAATGAAAGAAAATTATTAATATTGGAATTAGGCTGTACTGGGGAATTGAAGTTTGAAAAAGTGGTTGATCAGTTAAATAGTAATGAGGGGAGGAAGAAAATGTTTCGTTTTTCAAAAAACAGTGGGATTATTTTGAGAATTTGAGAGATAGATATTAGGATCCAGTAGATGGCAGTAAGTGCAACAAAAATGGATGCAAGCTGCCGTTAAAACCTAAAGAAGAAGAAGTAATAGTACAAGAAGAAGAAGAGGAGGCAGTATGCTCCTATTTACAAAAACATGTAAAATTTCTCCACAGATCTGCCACCTGGCAGGTTCAAAGCTTTACCTGGGGACAGCGAAGAGAAGTGCGATGACAAACTTTCATCAGGTAACAGCCAGGAAATCTCTGGGTTTTTTAAACTTATGGTGTGAACTGGGTCCCGTTTCAGAAAGTGGGATAAGTGATAGAGCCAAGTTGATTCGGTTCCGTCTGACTATCCGTAATTACGTTCCAGATATCTAAAAATGCATTTTGACTCGACAAAACTACATTTTGACTATCCGGAATGGTAATTTAAGATATCTGCATTTCCATTCTGACTAGTGAGAATAATAATTCAAGATATCTTCAATTACATTTTGATTAGTCAAAATTCTTTTCAAGGTATCTCAAATGACGTCACTGGATCTGCAATTTGATGAGACACGTATCCGGAATTACGATTTAAGATATCTTCTACGTAATTATCACTAGTCAAAATTACAATTTAAGATATCTTAAATGGAAAAGTTGAATAATTCAAGATATCTCTAATTCATTTAGAAATATCTTAAAAGGAATTTTGACAAGTCAAAATTATAATTCAAGATATCACTCATTTAGTTCTGTCTAGTCATTATTTGCTTTTAAGATATCTATAATTTAATTTCCACAAGTCAAAACTATATTTCTCCGATCCAAAAATACATTTAAGATATCTTGAATTATGGACTAATTAGAAATAGCTTGATTAAAATTATGACTAGTCAAAACTACAATCGAGATATCTTGAATTTACTTTTTGACTAGTCATAATTTAATTGTAGATATCTGAAATGTTTATTTCAGATAGTCAGTAATTCATTGCAGATATCTTGAATTGAAGTCCCCATACAAAACAATGGTAAATCTGACGTCATTTCGACTATTCAGAATGTAATTAGAGATATCTTAAATTTCTAAAACGTCTAGTCATAAAACAAATTGAGATATCTGGAATGCAAGGGCAGTAAAACCGAATTTATGTTAAAAGGGCTTGCCATGAAAGATTAAGTACCTCTGTGCAGCTGACACCCCACCCACGTCAAAAAATCCAGCGAATAGTCTGATTGGTAGTGCTCCGTTTGTGCAAACCGCTCCGTTTACACTACAAAACTACAGTACTACTAGGTAAGCAGCTCTTGTGCAACCTGGATGCAAAAAAGTGGTGAAATCGCCCTTTATTGAAGTTTCACAAAACAGATAGAAGTTTCACAAATCCCAAACATGGTTTTCAATGTTCTGCTCTTGGTTGAGAATAATTTAGTCTAGGTTTGAAGAGTGTTGTAGTTTTGGAATTGGAGCAGTTATGCTATGACAGAGATCCAAAAAGTGGTGAAATCAGCCTTTATTGTAGATTCACAAATCAGAAAAAGGTTTTACAAATCCCAAACATGGTTATAAATATTTTTCTATTAGAGCGGAATAATCCAGTCCAGATTTGAAGAGTCTAGGTGTTGTAGTTTTTAAACTAGATGATTAAAGATGCGGAAGGTAGTGAAAAATTGGTAGAATTGCCCTTTAGCCATTTCCTGAATCCATCCATTCATCCATCTTCTGCCACTTATCCGAGATCGGGTCGCGGGGGTAGCAGCTTAAGAAGGGAGGACCAGACTTTCCTCTCCTTAGCCACTTCCTCCAGCTCCTCCGGGGGAATCCCGAGGCGTTCCCAAGCCAGCCGAGAGACGTAGTCCCTCCAGCGTGTCCTGGATCTTCCCCGGGGCCTCCTTCCGGTGGGACGTGCCCAAAACACCTCACCAGGGAGGCATCCAGGAGGCATCCTGACCAGATGCCCGAGCCATCTCAACTGGCTCCTCTCGATGTGGAGGAACAGTGGCTCTACTCTGAGTCCCTCCCGGATGACTGAGCTTCTCACCCTTTCTCTAAGGGAGAGCCCAGCCACCCTATGGAGAAAACCCATTTCGGCCGCTTGTATCCGCGATCTCGTTTTCTCGGTCATTACCCAAAGCTCATGACCATAGATGAGGGTAGGAATGTAGATCGACTGGTAAATCGAGAGCTTCGCTTTTTGACTCAGCTCTCTCTTCATCACGACTGACCGGTACAGCGCCTGCTTCACGGCAGACTTTGCACCAATCCGCCTGTCGATTTCCCGCTCCCTTCTTCCCTCATTCGTGAACAAGATCCCGAGATACTTGAACTCCTCCACTTGGGGCAGGACATCCCCCTCGACCCGGAGAAGGTACTCTACCCTTTTCCGACTCAAGACCATGGTCTCAGACTTGGAGGCACTGATCCTCATCCCGGCCGCTTCACACTTGGCTGCGAACCGCTCCAGCGACAGCTGCAGATAACATCCCGATGAAGCCAATAGGACCACATCATCCACAAAAAACAGAGATGCAATTTTAAGGCCACCAAAACGGATCCCCTCAACAGCCTGGTTGCACCTAGAAATTCTGTCCATAAAAGTAATGAACAGAATCGGTGTCAAAGGGCAGCCCTGGCGGAATCCAACCCTCACCGACTTATTGCCAGCAATGCAGACAAGACTCTGACACCGGTCATACAGGGACCTGACAACCTGTATCAAAGGGCCCGGTACCCCATAATCCCAGAGAACCCCCCACAGGGCTCCTCGAGGGACACAGTCGAACGCCTTTTCCAAGTCCACAAAACACATGTAGACTGGTTGGGCGAACTCCCATGCACCCTCCAGGACCCTGCTGAGGGTATAGAGCTGGTCCAGTGTTCCATAGCCAGGATGAAAACCACACTGCTCTACCAAAATCCGAGGTTCGACTATCCGACGGACCCTCCTCTCCAGTACCTCCGAATAGACCTTGCCAGGGAGGCTTAAAAGTGTGATCCCTCTATTATTAGAGCACACTCTCCGATCCCCCTTTTTAAACAGGGGGACCACCACCCCAGTCTGCCAATCCAGGGGAACTCCCCCCGATGTCCATGCGATACTGCAGAGTCGCATTAACCAACACAACCCTACAACATCCAGAGCCTTGAGATACTCTGGGCGAATCTCATCCACCCCCGGGGCCCTGCCACCGAGGAGCTTTATAACCACCTCGGTGACCTCGTCCCCAGAGATTGGAAAGCCCAACCCAGAGTCCCCAGGCTCAGCTTCCTCAATGGAAGGCATGTTGATGGGATTGAGGAGGTCTTTGAAGTACTCCGCCCACGACCCACAACGTCCCAAGTCGAGGTCAGCAGCACACCACCCCCATTGTAAACAGTGTTGGTGCTACACTGCTTCCCCCTCCTGAGAACGCTGGATGGTGGACCAGAATCGCCTCGAAGCCAAACGGAAGTCTTTCTCCATGGTCTCTCTGAACTCCTCCCACGCTCGAGTTTTTGCCTCAGCAACCACCAGAGCCGCAAGCCACTTCGCCCGCCGGTACCCATCAGCTGGCCAAAAAGCAGGCCAAAAAGGCCAAAAAAAGGACTCCTTCAGACTGACAGCATCCCTCACCGAAGGTGTCCACCAACGGGTTCGAGGGTTGCCGCCACGACAGGCACCGACAACCTTGCGACCACAGCTTCGATAAGCCGTCTCGACAATGGAGGCACGGAACATGGTCCACTCAGACTCAATGTCCCCCGCCTCCCCCGGGACATGTTCTAAGCTTTGCCCTAGATGGGAGTTAAAGCTCCGTCTCACAGGGGACTCCGCCAGACGTTCCCAGCAGACCTTCACAACAAGTTTGGGCCTGCCAGGTCTGACCGACATCCTCCCACATTTCCCGAATCAGAAGCTAAAATTGGAAACCAACTTCAGCTTTGCCATTTATCGTGCGATTAATTGATTTATTGTGACAGGCTGTCAACTTTAAATATTTTTTTAAACTCAAAAACATGACAAGTCGGTGGATGAATGACTGCCTTAGCACCCAGACAACAGGCTTAGCAGGTTTTCAGGGGGAACTCAACTTTGTTTTGTGTGCAAAGCTAAAGTTGGCTTCTGATTGTAGCTTCCCAATTGATAAATGGCTAATCTTGAGTGTCTACTCTAGCTTAAAAACTGCAAGACGCTTTAAACGTGACTAGAATATTGTGGCAGTTATTATAGTAACTGTTGGCTGAAGATAAATTGATTTCAATAACTGCAGAAGTAAGGGAGCTCAACATCAGACTTTCTGCAATTTAACCTTTGCTTTGTCTTTTTAAGTTGCTGGAATGTTTTTTTCATTGCCTAAATAATATGCTTTTTAAATCTTCAACTAACTTGGTTTTCCCCCTGATTTTAGCTCCACATGCTCTCTGTCCTGCAAAAGGCTCGAGGTTGGACATCACACTGCCTGCGTCCCAGTGTCCTTCAGCGTGCTGGGGAGGTCAGACAGTTCACTGCTAGTCACACATTTACATTCACAAATGCTTATCATGATGTTGGTCTTTTACAGTTTTGCTTTCTCAAGGTAAAATAACTATGTATCATACAACTACTATAAAAAACAAAAATCACACTTTGATGTTTAAGCTCCACATATGGGCTTAGATACATCCATTTACTCTAAATATCATAATTTGTGTGGAAAAATTTGGGAGCTATGCTTATGAAAAAGCCTGTCACAATAAGCAACAAATCAGTTAATCATAAGATAATCAATAATCATCAATTTATGTCATTTTGGTTGTGTTCACACTGCCGTGTTAAGTGACCCAATTCTGATTTTCTTTTTTTTTAATGCCTTAATGCAACCTGTATTTGATCTTTTCATGATAGTCTGAACAACACAGATCAGATATTTTTCTAATGCAACCCTGGCCACTTCGATATTTGATACGGATCCAGTTCATATGTGATCTAACATCCAGTTTGGATCCAACCGACCTGAACATCATGCATACTACAGAATTGTGAAAAGCCTCTATTCTGTGTGCTGACATGCGCAAACAAGTCAGCACACACTGTAATGAGGATTAGGTTGTTAATACGCTGGCTGCAGACGCACAACAAATTCAAAATTGAAAGCTATACTCCACCCTTAGCATTCATGCTTACTTTTTCAAACACGGAGCACTAATTTTTATGGCTGCTGGCGAAACATTGAGCTTGCGCTCTATGTGTGACATTATTGCTGCCTCTACTGTGCATCCAGGGCACTTTCCAATTGTTTACAGTTCACACTGGAGATCACATACAAGTCGCATATATATGAAATTTTATTACTGCAATATAATCCAATTTGACAAAAAATCGGAATTAGGTCACTTAGGGCTGCAGTTGAACAAAGCATTAGTTTTTAAACAGTCCTTTGTGGTCAGAGTGATACACTTATGATGCATTCAAGTACACCTTGCACTGTAATTCAATTCAGTTTTGTTGTCTCAAGGCACTGTACAAAAATCGCTTCAGTTCAATCTCACAGACATACTAATTGATGCTAGATATCAAACAGTGCAGTCCATGTTTACTTTAATGATTTAAACAAATTCATCATCAATTTCTAATATGATATATTAAACTATATGTTCACCTCTATTGACTCATTACTTGGTTTCACCCCTTATTTGCATGAAAAACTATTTTCAGAAGCCTGATATTTCTGTTTAAGCACATCATTTTTTTGCTGTTGAATTTATGAAATATTTTAATCTTCTGATATCCCTATAGAAATCCCTGTAGATCAGCAGTTTTTGAAATACACAGACCAGCCTGTCTGGCACCAATAACTATGCCACGTTCAAAGTCACTTAAATCTCCTTTCTTCCCCATTCTGATGCCTGCTTTGAACAGCAGTAGATCGCCTTGGCCACATCTGCATGCATTGAGTTGCTGCCATGTGATTGGCTGATATGACATATGCCTTAATGAGGAGTTAGACTGATGTCCCTAATGAAGTAGCCAGTGAGTCTATGTTTTTCATGTTTGTTGTATTATCAGTAACTTTAACACTCACTGCTTTGTGCAGACAGCCATTAACCCAATGAAAAGTACTTTGGGACACTGCATATTTTTATCGATGTCCGTACTTATCCAGCGGGTTTGTGCTGGGCTGTGGAGTTTCTGACGAGGAGCAAATGTTACATCTGAGCATGCTATTGGAGCCAACTGTCTGTCTGAATAACACTGCTCAAAAAAAAATAACAATCTGCCATTGACATGTTCATTTCTTTTATGATCCGGTCAAAGTCTTCATAGATCCCGTTTTCTCTTTGAGGAACAAATCGTCTGCTTTAGCTACCAATGTGGTCATTCCAGTGTCTTTAGTTAGATCGTCTACTGGACTTTCCATAGCTCTGTCAAGAGCTTGCTTCTTGTTCTCCAAATCTGTAACTCTCATCCAACTATTGACCTCATTCATCCAAGTTTTGTAAGGCTTTCCTTCTTCAAACTTTAGTGTAACTCTAGTTACTATCCATCCTCCAATGTTACTTGGTAAAAAATAATTCTCTTTTGGCTCTGGTGAAGTTTATTCCGCTATGTGCTTCACAGAAACACATCTAATATGTACTACTGGCATGATGGTGCTGACCTTACTACCCATTCATCAATGGATGTGTGTCTGGACTTTGACTGAGCCAATCAACGCTGCGGCTAAACGTTTCCACTGTAGCTCTGTCTGCATGTTCAATGTTCAAAACCTTGGATATTGTTTTTTTCTGTGAATATTGTACTATAAAAAAACTTCACTTTACAATTGTCCCTCCAAAAGACATTGCCAGCATCAAAACACATGAAACTTTATTATTAAGTGACTTATATGAGGTTTTCTTTCCACATCAGCTTGGCTGGAGAAGATTTGATGATGGGTTAATCAGAAATCTTTCTCTAACATCAAGAAGAAAGAAGAAACTGACTCCTGTGCATATAAGGTATTCCTCTGTTATTGTATCTATTTAATATCACCAGTAATTATTGAGCTGCCCAAATAATTGATATTTTATTTATGTCTTTCTCTGGAAGAGAGCTGTCAGAAGCAGCCTATGAGAAGCTGGCAGATGAGACGCTGGATGCTCTATCTGATTACTTTGAAGATTTGGCAGACGAAGCTTTCACTGGAACAGAATATGATGTCATATTTTCTGTAAGCCATTATAACATCAATTATAACAGCTCAGAACATCAATTATCAATTATCAATTATTGTAGGAGACAGAAAATGCGACGCCCCAAATTATCACAGAAGAACTTTATATTTCAGAGGAATTATAAATTATGTTCCATTAATAGCTGTTTCAGTTCCTTTTTAGCTTATTATTTTGCTAACTAAATAGCCTGAAGCAGAAAAGGCCATCCATTCATTGAATCACTGTTTCCCACTGGAATTTTTACAATTTAACAATAGTGTGATAAATAAATTATAAAATTTTGTAGGTGGTAAGACATAAAGACACGAAGCCTTAATTGATACTCCTAAATTACACTGCAACCGGTTCTGCCACAGTGTAACCCCTGCAGTAAATATACACACGTTATTGTCAATAACAGCACTTGCACTGTGTGCGTGTGGCGACGCAGTGCGCCAGCCTTCTGCAGAATCGTCCTCCAAAATTAGAACCGATGCTATTGTTGTTGGACACTGGAGCAAGTGTGGAATCGATCTTTAAGGATTACACTGATCCAACAGGAAGCTGCACGAGCACCACATCCGTATTTTCAAAATAATTCACCATGATAGAAAAAAAAGTAGGAAAATACTTTTATAAATATTTACCCATATTAATAAAAATATGGGTGTATTGCTGGCAGCATGTATCACTGATGGCTGTGCATAACTGATACATAAATAACTCACACAAAACATAATTCTATTAAGTCAAGTGCATTGCTCACAGTAGGAGCGCAAGTCAAAATGGACAGAGCAAAGGAGGGAAAATATTAATTTTGGAAGTTGAGAACTACAGCGTTTTATAACATCATCTCTTTTATCACTGGCTTTATTTCGCAATCTCTCATTTCTCGTACATGCATCTTTCAGAACCTCTCTGCAGTTCACAGTGGAGTGGAGCTGAGAATGCATTCAACCAGGGGAAGTTGGGGTTCTCTAGAACTGCTGCAGTCTGCCTGCAAAGTGGAGAGCAGCTCAGAGTAGTGTGGAGCACAGTAGGTGTTCTAACTATCTGTGCTACCCATGAAGCTGTCCTACCTTGTGGTAGTGCGCATTACCACAAGGAAATGCACATCGACATTGCGTCACATACTGCTTACTCAGCAGATTTCTCATCGGTACATCGTACCTGTGGATGCTTCGTTTCATCCTTTTTATTTCATCAAAGATTAAGATAAGCTTTAATTAATTTATTTTATACCTGGCTTTCATTAAGCTGCTGTATTACTTTATGTTTTAAGTTTACATGACAGGCAGTTTGTAAACATACTTATGGCTTTAGTTTTCTGTCTGCAATGTCTTTACTGTATACTGCAAACAGAGTCATTGCTTGTCATCAAGTATGTGAATTAGGACAAAATATGTTGTTTTTGTGGGTCATTTGGTCCCATAAAAGTACTTTAAAATATTTTAATTTAAAAACACTCCTTTTATGGAATAGTGCCATATTGGGCATGTTGATAGCGATATTATATGAGGTTGAACCTGTGTAATTGCAGTGTAATTTTAGTGTATATTAATTCTGCAGAAGACTGTGATACAACTCTGTCACTCAAATAATGTTATCCAGTGTATTTAACATCAACACAACCTGCTATAGTTTTCGGTTTGTAAATATGACGCTAGCAGTTTCAGAAGCGTATATCACTGACACATAGAAGCACATATTGTCAGAACACTGGGATGCAGTGTATTTTAGGGGTTTAGTCCCTGCACAGATTGTTCGTAAGACTGAAATATAGACTCTGGTTTCGTCCACCCCACAACAGTAGTATTACTTCCAGGAAACAAACAAAAAAAAAACATGTTTTTGTTTTAAACAAAGTTACATGTTACAAAAATTCAGAGGTGCATGAGCAAGCATGGTAATTCGGACCAACAGGCAGGGACATGCCAACTTCTGTGCGTCAACTATAAACCTAGTTGGTAACATTTTATTTGAAGGGTGAGCATAAGACTGGCATGACATTGTCATCTACATGACAACACATGTCATGAACATGGAGTCTTCATAAATCAGTCAATCAATCAAATTTTATTTGTATAGCACATTTCAGCTACAAGGCATTTCAAAGTACTAAATGATTGACTGTTGTCATGAAGCGTCATTTTGTAAATGACTCTTTAATGCAAAGTTGCATTAAGACTTGTATTTTATTGCAAAGCATCGACTTTGCATTAAAAATGTCATTATTTGTTAACTGACATTTAATAACAACAGTCATAGACATTCATGAAGACTCCTTCATGTTTATGAAGGAGTTGTTGTCATGTGGTGACAAATGTCTGTCTTTCACAAGAGACCAAAAAAAAGATCTTGATGCAGCCAAATGCTCACAAAACCTCACCTACCTCTTAGCTCATCTCATGTTTAAGCCAAACCAGTTTGTCAAATTCCGACCATTTTCTGTCACCCTGGATCTCCTGCCTTGGATTGCCCTTTTGTTTAAAATGTGATGGATGGTACAATCAGAACCATTCAGGCTGTTTTTCTTTATCCAGGGGACTGTAATAAATAGTTAACTAAATAGGCAGCCATTCACTTCATCTAAAAAATGTTTGTCATTTCAGTTTAACACATATGAAGGACTGTGTATATGTTCTGAATGTGTGCACAGAGTGGTGTGTTGACTGTAAAGTTGGGTGGAGGCCATGGAACCTATGTTATCAACAAACAGACACCAAACAGGCAGATCTGGCTTTCTTCGCCTACCAGGTAGAACTACAGTGTTGTCTATTATTGTAGAAAATAATATGTAACATATACTGTATTTAATTATTTTGTTTGAAGGGTTTTTTTTTAGGTTTTTTTTCTTTAGAATTTACACTTCTTGAGTTATTTTTTGTCAATGTATATAATTTAATTTGAGGCAGAACTGCTAGAATATTTGTTGCCGGGGAGGAAACCCACAGTGCAGTATTTGGAAGTGAAACTAAGTGTTCCGAGACCAACGTGCAAAATTCCTACCAGAAGAGCTGCAGCTGTAATTTAAATGGTAAATGGACTGAACTTATATAGCGCTTTTCCAGTCATTTTGACCACTCAAACCGCTTTACACTAGTCACATTCACCCATTCATACACACACGCAGATCGGTAGGCAATTTGGGGTTAAGTGCCTTGCCCAGAGGCACATCGACATATGGCAGGAGGAAGCTGGAATCGAACCTACAACCTTCCAATTGCAAGACGACAACTCTGCCACACAACCGCAGTGAACACATCCTTCTTTGCGTGGAAGTCATCGTCCAGCCAAGCACAGAAACTGCAGTTCTCTCTCATTCTATTCATCTAAAAAAAGATGGATATAATAATAGAATGCTTCAAATGCACCTGTCCACAGAATGCTTTTGAAGGGTAAAAAAAAGAATGAAACGAATGAAAGAGGAGTAGGAAAATTGTAGAAGTTAAAATTGCAAAGAAGAAAGTTTGGCCAATGTTTAAATGACCTTCATTCCATTTTCCCGTGTGAACAGCTTTGCCCAGACTTAACCCGTTGCCTTTGGACTGTGTTAAATATGTTAAATGTTCATCTTTAGCTTTAGGATAGTGGGAAGAGACTTCTGAGTTTGAGAACCTTAAGGGAGAAAAAAGACTGCTGAAAGGATGTTTGAAAGTAGGCCTTGAAGTCCCCACTGACTTCAATAGAATAGAATAGAATTCAACTTTATTGTCATTGCACTGTCACATGTACAAAGCAACAAAATGTAGTAAAATGTAACAGCCAAGTCACAATGACTACCTCTATCACCACCCAAAGGAGGCGATCGCTGTCTTAGCCAAAAGGCACAATGATGTCTGATGACGAGTGGAAAATGGCGGCAGTTTTCACCTCAAATTTGTAGCATTTTCAAAACACACATTAGTACAGCTCACAAAAATATCTGACCTTCTCTAGTGTTTGGACTATGACTTTGTTATGAACTGAGTAGATCTGAATATAGCTACTCAAAGGTTCCAAAAAATCTCTAAAAATCTTCTTGCTAAGTTTTCTGGCATTTAGCAAATATAAATAACTTGGATGATCTAACTGAACTGTAACGAGAGAAGCTTGGTCAGATTTAACTTTATGCAAGTGAAGAAAAGCCTTTATTTGTTGTATGTAAATATCTGCTTTCAGACTCATTTTATTCCCCTCGTCTTTTTCCTTTTGTGTTCCCAGTGGACCAAAACGCTACGACTGGACAGGAGAACGCTGGGTGTACACTCATGATGGAATCAGTCTCCACCAACTGCTTTCTGAAGAGTTTTCCATTCTCTTCAATAAAAATATCTATTTGTGTCATTTGCCGTATTCCTGAAGCAGCGAATCTGAAAATGATGGACTGAGTGCAGTATGCTAACCAGAATGTTTCTATGGAAACCAAAAGACCTGTATTGTCTATTCCTCCCTCCCTTCTGAAGTTCATTGCAGTCCAAACAGAAGACCCACAGATTAATTCCTGGCGTGGGATCGATATCCTTCCATGTTCCTACCAAAGTCTTCTGTATTTTGCTGTAATGTGTCGCTATGCCTGACTGTACTCGAGTTTTATTTCTGTGTTCACTGCTCTTGTATTTCCTTCCTGTAGAAAATACAATAAGGAAAGATTATTTATCTTTTCCAATCTGTTGCCTTTTTAAACCCATATAGTTGAGCTTTTATTTTGAAAATGTGCATTTCATTTTATAATCCCAAACTGAATGAGGAATTACACATAAAATACAATTTATTTCAATAAGTATAAACACTAGCAAGTTTCAAGCTTGGTGTATATCTATAAGGTAAAAGAAAACCAGAAAAATCCCTGAGTAATATAAGAAATTATCTAAATTATTTTCAATGTTGAAAACAACAACAATGCACCGTCAACATCACACAACATTCTTCATACAGGTCCTGGCTGACTGTTACTGATTATTGGTTATGCTGATTATTGCTGGTGTTGGTCAGAAGAGCCGACGGCGCAAAATTTGCAACTTCACTTTTGTCAGCCTGGGCATGGCAAGCTACAACTTAGTAGCTTATTAATGTGAATGAGTCCTTTGAGATTTCAATTGGAGATATAAAGGGCTTTATAAATAAAATTGATGGTTCTTACCGTTATTACTGACAAAGACTTCTTGGTGATGGAAGCTAGCTGTTCTGTTCTACACCAACTTGCTGTTTCATTGAGTTTTTCTGGAGTTCAAGGTTGCAGGAGGATTAGAGTGGCTTCATGCAGCCAACCAGTGAAAGAAGGGTTCTCCCAATTGCTATTAACAGATGCCAAAAAACTAAGCTAGAATAAAAACAAGTATTTCAGTAGAGATTAAAAGCTTTCACACTGGGAATGAGTCCATCATGCAAGTGGATCAAATATAGAAGAAATGGGATGAATAAATAAACAACGTCCTTTTCCCACCATTATTTTATTTCTTTCAGTTACACCAGCACACCAGGTTAGAATGCAAAGTGAAAGCAAGATTTGTTTCTTAAAACTCGTGGCTCATATAGTTATTCCACACACTAAGAGAACGGTCTATTTTTCATATTTAAAACTTGTTTCCTAAATAGCAAAGAGATGCTGAAATGTTTCTATTTTTAAGCTGAGGTTAACTTTTCAAACAGCAACATCAAATCAGAAAGAGAACAACTTTATACTTAGTGCAGCTGGAGACTCGCATTCAATAAAGTGTCCTCATCCTTTCCAATGTAATAAACCCAAAAGAGAAGTCTTGCAGTAAATACAGTTCAGTAATTCTGATTTTAAGTTGGAGTAGACAAGAAAAAAAGCTCCACTTGTGAATGATCATTTTATGTAGTAAACAATACTGAAAGGAACTGATGTCAAGTATGGGCTTAAATTTTGTAAGGTTTATCAAATGTAGAGAGGCTGCTCCTGAGCAGTCAGCAGGCGATACATGGCTGCAGGCATGGTCTTCATGTGAATCTAAAAAACAGACAGGAGTAACATTTTAAAAGTGCAGCCAAAGGAGACATTTTACAAAAGACAGGACAAGAAAATAAGGATGTGTTTTTGTTTAATGTTGACTATTACTGATGAAAACCCAAATTCAATAGCTCAGAAAATTGGAACATTAAGACCAATACGAAATACATTTTATTTAGAAATGTTGACTAAAAGAAAAACATGAACATGAAAAGTATGAGTATGTTCAGCACTCAGTATTTAGTTGAGGCTCCTTTTGTCTTAATTACAGCAGCAATGCAGTGTGGCATGGAGTCCATCAGTCTGTGGCACTGCCCAGGTGTTATGAGAGCCCAGGTTGCTCTGATAGAGACCTCTTCTGAAATGTTGAGTCTGGAGTATCACTTTGTCCTCTTCACAATAGCCCATCTCCATGTCTATAATACACATAAGTCCCCTAGCAGAAGAAGGACATCCCAAGGAGGGGCACTATCCAGTAGCCTGTCCAAAGACTCCAAAAAGAATGGATTATCTGAACTGCAATTTGATGCGTAAGCACCAACAGTCGGAACCCGACCCCCACTCGTATGTGGAGGGAGGCTACCATTGATTTACCAAGATGGTCCTGCTCAGTGCCTCTCATCTGGAGCAATTCCAGAGTGGAAGAGTGTCCAACTCTGTCCTGGAGTGTCTCAAGGAGACAACCTCAAGCTCACACACTAGCTCAGGCTCCTTCCCCACCAAAAAGATGACATTCTATGTCCCGAGAGCTAGCTTCTGCTACTGAGGATTGGATCCCCAGAGTCATCGCCCTCGGCCACCACCCTTCCACACTGCACCCTTTAACCCGGTTAAAGGGTGGTGGCCGAGGCTGAGGGTGGTGGCCGAGGACACTGCACCCTTTAACCCGGTTAAAGGGTGCAGTGTGGTGAGCCTAGGAGAACGGGGGCCCACATCTCCTCTTCTGGATGTGCCCAGCCAGGTTCCATGGATTAAAGGCCAGGCCACCAGGCGCTCGTCAACGTGCCCCATCTCTGGGCTCCAGAGTGGGGCCTCAGTGACCTGCATTCACACGAGCGAATATTGTTTACTATGGTCGTATTCATCATAAGGGGTTTTTGGGATGCCCTTTGTCTGGTACCTCAACCAGGACCTGTATGACCTTACCATGCCGTTTCTATTTGAGAAACCTGTAAAGTAACTGATTTAAAACATTTTTGTAGAGTGGATCAAAATTCCACTGTGGCGATATTAAAAACTACTACTTATTCCAAGCTCTTGATGTCAGTTGTTGTGTTGCTGAAGGTGGTGAAATTACATTTAGGGTCATTACTTTTTCACATAGGTTCAGGTTATTTTGGATATTTCTTTCCTTTCATGAAATTGTCATTTAAAAATTGCATTTTGTTCTTATTCAAGTTGTCTTTATCCACTTTGATGATCTGAAACATTTATTGGGGAAGAAAAAAAGGGTAACACTTTATTTGATGGGTTGTGAATAAGACTCATAACACCATCGTAAATATGACATAACACCTGTCATGAACATGAGTAAGTCTTCATGAATATTTATGAGTAAGTATTACTGATTAAACATTAGATTTAATAACATAAAGCTACATATCTTTTAAAGTTCAACCAGTAATACTTTTATAACAAATTTATGTCAGATCATGATTTCTTGGTTAATGTCAAGTTGTCATAAAGACATTTTGAATAATGTCAACTTTGTATTGAAAGGGTCATGATTTACTGAATGACACTTTATGAGAACAGTCATAAATATTAATGAAGACTTAATCATGTTCATGACAGGTGTTATGTTTATGACAGAGTCATGACAGTCTTATTCACAACCCGTCAAAGTGTTATCAAAAACAGAAGTAAAAGCAAGGAGTCAAAGGTTTTTTTTCACAGGGATCTGGTTTGGGATTTAAGTTAATCTTTCACTGATGACAAAATTAATAAATCCCCAAAATTGTGTGAAAATGACAGTACATCCATTTTTCTACCAAAGAAAACTTTGAAAACAATGTCAGCACTCATGTTCAAGTTCTAAGCAGCAGGATTTAAATGGCATATATTATCTCTAAATAAAGTATTGTGCAATGTCTCACCTCTCCCACAGCGTTGGACAGGATCTGGACAATTTTTTCATGGGGAGTTGCGACCACACTTTGATTATTGATCTCAATGATGCGATGGCCCACTCTTACACCTCCTCTTTCAGCAATTCCACCACGAATAAGACTACAAATCTGATGGATAGATGCAATTTTTTCAGACAAAAAACACAACTTGAATTAAAAAATTGACAGACTATAAACATTCTTCTAAAAGAGTAAAACACCCCCTACTCACAATGCCATTCTGTACACTGAATCCCAGCTGGTAGCGCATATCTGGCCGTCTGATAAGAACTGTAGTTACTGGTGGACATCTGACAATATTCAATTTTATCCGAGACTGGTTCTTTAGACCCTATACAAAGGAAAGCATCTAGAATTTGTTTACTCTTGAAAAGAACAATTCATTAAAGATGTGAAAGAAATTTAAAATGAGCATAGGATGGTAAAAAACAAACAAAAAACTAAGGGGCCACAACATGTGCCCCCTTAGTTTTTATATTATGGGATGTCAGGGGAAAAGGTCTATAATTATTGATTGATAACTGATAGATGAGCTTCCCTTGGTACCAGAACCAGGTAGGATGTTTTCCATAATCCTGGAACCTTCTCTTGGATCAAGCTAAGTTTTAAAATCTTAGCAGAATCACATAGAGCTGTTCTGCCCAGGCCTTTGGGACTCTGGGACAAACACCATCAGCCTTGCTCTAGCTCAGTCTTTCCAGTTTCCTCTTCACCTGACTTCTACAGACAGAAAAATGGAAGGTGGAGGCAAAGGGACCAGCAGAGTCTTCTGATATTGAGACACAAGATGTAGAAGCAGAAGGATCAATATAAAGGGTGAGGTGGAATATAAAATATTTGAGGTGTGACCAGCCTAAAGGCCTTAAAGGATGGTAGGAGGTACATTTAGCCGAGGGCAGGAGAAGAGGATGATGAACTTGTTCCTGAAGTGAACCTGCAGAATGTATTCAGTCCATTTGCTCTGTCCAGACTTTCATCTTTCTGACCTTCCTTTTGTTTAAAGCCTGTGATTTTCTTCATCCCTGATCACACATCGCTGATATTGTTCTGCTGGAGCCAGCTCTCCATCTTCTTTCTGTAAATCTCTGCATTGTCTCTAATCATGTCTGTAAGCTCCTTTATACTCTTCAATAATTACCTGTTTTCCTTCTTGAAGGGTCCTTTGTTCCTTCAGGACACAAATAAGCTTAATAAGCTCATTTCAAAGCCATCTGCTCTGCAGGACTTTGATTTATGTAAATTTGAATTTACTTTTCTTTTTTTTATTTTACGCCATTAATTTATGTTGTTACTAATTTGATGTGTAGTGGTCTTTGTTTTAAGTCTCAAATTACTTCCAGTTTTTGTCTTGGGTTACTGTTCTTTATTGGGTTATAAATTAGAATAATAAAGTTTATTTTTAATATTGTAAAAATATAAATAAAATATTTTGTGCACTACTTCAGCTTGTGTCCGGAACGTTTGAAGCCAGACCTACCTGGGTATTGTTAATAGGGGGACCCTTGGCCATCTAACATCATTTGAGAAGTCTACCAGTTTGCTTCAGTGGCAC